GGAGAGGAGCACCACCCCCTGCACCGCGGCTGAGGGTGAGCTGAGTATGATGTGACGAAAGTGCCAAAGCAAAGAGGAGAGGGCTCCAGTCCCCGAATCCAGTCCAGAGCGCCCTCCAGTGCCAGCTCCTTGTAAGCGCTCTCAAGTGTCTGCTCCTCCTGAGCGCCCTCCTGTTCCCGTTTTCAGCCTAGAGGGGGCTTCCGATCCAGAGTTAAGCCCTGAATGCCCGGAGACTCACAAATGCCCGCCCTCCCACCTGCTCCTGCCTCCTCCACCGCTGTCGTCTGGCAGCCCCTCTGCTCGCCCTCAGCCCACCATCAATACCGTGCGAGCGCCGTGGGTCTGCCATCCTCCAGCATCGCCATGGCTGGAGAATCCCTCACCTCCGCCTCCAGCCTCCAGGGATTCTGGACTGTTCTGTGTCGTGTTTTGCCCGTTTCTGTTCCTGTTTTTCCTTATTTGGTCATGTACCTGTCCTCGTTTAGTTTGATTATGATTCCTTACACCTGTGTTTAGTAATTATCCCTTGTATTTAAGTTCATGTTTGTTCAGTCTTCCTTTGTCAGTTCTACTCGTTGGATGTTGTGTAATTCCCCTGTGTTTCCAAGGATTAAAGACTGTTTATGTACTCCACGTATCCTTGTTCCTCGTTCCACGCTCCTCCCAGCACAGAGCGTGACAATTGTGGCAGCTGAGTCATTTGTTCACTAAGCTTTCAGTGCTATTCTTGAACTCAAATTTTAATCTTTGTATATCATTGCAATAGGCTCTCCAATACTTTACCCAAATATATCAATTCTGTCATTTAAGCATCTTTATGTCATTCTAAACTTGACTTTCATTCTTTTGTGGAACAAAATAACTACTCAGTATTTTGGAAAAAGTGCTCTTTCAGTGATGCTTATGTTTTGGTGTAAAATTTGTATGAATTTGTACAATCTTATTTGTGCTTTTTGTGTGATCTGCATGTGCCCCATAACAGTTAGGTTTAGAGGTGGAACTTCATGCTTGATTTCTAAAAATTGTTTATTTTCACCACATCATATAAATTAATACGAAATTGCCATAAAAAAAGTTGTTTTCTCATGATTGTTTTTTTTGGCAAGTGATATACAGTTACTGTATCTGTACTTTGAAAAAACGTCTTTTAATCATTTTTAATTTTAGTTTTGTGTAATAAAATCTTACCATTTTACTATGTATAATTATATATGTATTATTATTATTTTAGGATCAGTCATATACTATTATATGATATACTGTATACTATTTTTTTTATATTTTAATTATATTTTATTTTCATTTTAGTTAACGTTTTATTTTAGTTTTATTTATTTTCTTTATTTATTACATTTTAGTAACAATATTCTGTGTGCTATTTCAGAATCAGTTCTCCGATTCCCCCCTTCCCAGTTCTCCTGTATTAAAGCTGAAAATTTTAGTTTTTATCATTCACAGTCAAATATTTGCGGTTTAAATCACAATTAGCTGCTGTTTTGTGTAATCATGAGAAATTAATTTGAGCATATTGAAAAATTCAGGAGAAATTTGAGCAAGCCATTGCATTTAATTAACATTTAAACTGGGCTACCACTTTTGTAGAGAGCTACGTAATTAGTGACAAATTAGGCAAATGTGCTGTAAAGAAATCATCAAAGTGACCTGAAAGTAAGGAAATTCACAACAACCAGTCAGTGCAGAATCATAGAAATTCAGAAACAATGGATTTCAGCAATACATGCTATTATAATAATGCACTCTGGAAATACTTTACAGTTAAATAAGATTCATATGTCACAAGTCACAATTAAAACCTCCTATCATGCGTGATAAATGTTCATTGAAAATGCATCGCCTACAATTATTATTGGTTGACAATGCTGAGGTTCAGGAGGGGTTCCCTGATGTAACCATGGTTACAGATGCTTTGATTGTTAGGGAATAATTTTGACGAGGTTTTTCTCTGTTGTTGACTTTTGAAATGGCTTGTTATCTATCTATCTTTAATCTTTGTATATCATTGCAATAGGCTCTCCAATACTTTACCCAAATATATCAATTCTGTCATTTAAGCATCTTTATGTCATTCTAAACTTGACTTTCATTCTTTTGTGGAACAAAATAACTACTCAGTATTTTGGAAAAAGTGCTCTTTCAGTGATGCTTATGTTTTGGTGTAAAATTTGTATGAATTTGTACAATCTTATTTGTGCTTTTTGTGTGATCTGCATGTGCCCCATAACAGTTAGGTTTAGAGGTGGAACTTCATGCTTGATTTCTAAAAATTGTTTATTTTCACCACATCATATAAATTAATACGAAATTGCCATAAAAAAAGTTGTTTTCTCATGATTGTTTTTTTTGGCAAGTGATATACAGTTACTGTATCTGTACTTTGAAAAAACGTCTTTTAATCATTTTTAATTTTAGTTTTGTGTAATAAAATCTTACCATTTTACTATGTATAATTATATATGTATTATTATTATTTTAGGATCAGTCATATACTATTATATGATATACTGTATACTATTTTTTTTATATTTTAATTATATTTTATTTTCATTTTAGTTAACGTTTTATTTTAGTTTTATTTATTTTCTTTATTTATTACATTTTAGTAACAATATTCTGTGTGCTATTTCAGAATCAGTTCTCCGATTCCCCCCTTCCCAGTTCTCCTGTATTAAAGCTGAAAATTTTAGTTTTTATCATTCACAGTCAAATATTTGCGGTTTAAATCACAATTAGCTGCTGTTTTGTGTAATCATGAGAAATTAATTTGAGCATATTGAAAAATTCAGGAGAAATTTGAGCAAGCCATTGCATTTAATTAACATTTAAACTGGGCTACCACTTTTGTAGAGAGCTACGTAATTAGTGACAAATTAGGCAAATGTGCTGTAAAGAAATCATCAAAGTGACCTGAAAGTAAGGAAATTCACAACAACCAGTCAGTGCAGAATCATAGAAATTCAGAAACAATGGATTTCAGCAATACATGCTATTATAATAATGCACTCTGGAAATACTTTACAGTTAAATAAGATTCATATGTCACAAGTCACAATTAAAACCTCCTATCATGCGTGATAAATGTTCATTGAAAATGCATCGCCTACAATTATTATTGGTTGACAATGCTGAGGTTCAGGAGGGGTTCCCTGATGTAACCATGGTTACAGATGCTTTGATTGTTAGGGAATAATTTTGACGAGGTTTTTCTCTGTTGTTGACTTTTGAAATGGCTTGTTATCTATCTATCTATCTATCTATCTATCTATCTATCTATCTATCTATCTAAAGTTTTGTCTTCCAAAGTCAAACTGAAAGTTATTTACAATGCAATGTGGGTGGTAGTGTAGTGCCTGACGCTAAGAGCTTGCAAGGGGAAAGTTGCGGGTTCAAGCTCTACAAAGAAATAAGCAAAGGCAAAGTATCAGGGAAATCTGTAATAGGTGTAATCTGTAAATCACTATAAGTTGCTTTGGATAAAAGCCTCTCCTTAATGATTACTTTCTAAAAGTGGGTGGTACCCATAGTCATTGTTGTATACCATTGTCCGCATCATTAGGCCTGTTGTTAAATGTAATTCAGTAGGACTGCAGTGAGCTAAGAATATATTTGGGACTGTTTTACATTTCTAAGTCTTTGAGCTCTCATTGACATGCTGCTACATAGCGAGCAGGAATCCTATCTATTCCATAATCTTTTCTAGTCATTAGTGCCACTCGTGAAATCATTTCCCCTGTGAGGTTGCCATGGTTTCCGGCCCTCAACAGAGAACATGTTTACAGTTGTCAGTAACACACACAATTTTCCAATATTACATGGAAGTAATGAAAAACAAACAATAAAATAAAAATAAATAAATTAAATACGATATAATATACAGAGGATTCATTATAATTCATTCACTAAGACAGTATTGTATAAAATAATGTGTATATAGTCAGCGGTCATTATTGCAAAATAAACCCAGGCAGGGTAAATAAAGCAATTTATTTAGTAACAATGACTGTATATCATCCCATATATCAGACTGTAAACAAACAAACAAACAGACATATATTAAGATTGGGGGTCATAATCAACCTGTTGTGGTTTATTTTACAATAATATCTTGCTGACTGTACATTATCCTGCTTATCACTTACCAAATAAATACATGGACATGATATATTGAGTTGTAATCATTTTATTAGCTTAGTTGTAGAGACTGCAGAGATTGGTCAGTTACAGTGTTGCCATGGACAACAGTCATTATTCAGAAATATTTGACTGCTGAATGCAGTGACTGACCAATCAGAATCAAGTGTTTCAGAGAACTTTGTAAAAAAAAAAAAACTGTACACTACATATTTCAAGTTGATGCTACAGTAAAAAAATTGGTAACACTTTTTTAACATGACATAGTTACACGTTATATGTACTTATTGTAATAACAGTATATTAAGCTTAATTACAATCAAATAACCCTAAACCAAACCCTAACTCTTAACCTATATCAAGTAAATGTAGTTAATTAAAATTACTCCATACTTATTTGAATAGTTACACTGTAATAACACCATTTTAAAATAAAGTGAAACCAAGATTTGTGTTTAGAATCATTTAGCTTTGAAAAATTGGCCCTCATCCACTTTTTTCTTTTGTCAAGTTTATTGGTTCAGTTTAGGTTGCAACTCAATTCATAAATACAAACTGTATACATTAAGGTATAATAAATTTAATATAGACAGCTGACATATTTATTTGCATCAATAGAGTTCTCTCTACAACCAAGTATGTTTTGCATAGAATATGCGAGGATTTCCATCACTCTTACCTCCAAAAAAATAAAATAAAATAAAATAAAATAAATAAATAAATGAGTTTCCAGTCATCACAAAATGTTAAACAAAAGTTTAATGTCACTGAATTTCTGCAAAGTGGTCACCAAAAGCCTGAAAAACCAAAAACAGGATAAAATGCTGCACACAATTTAGGCAAAAAAAACTTTATACTTTATAAACTAAATACCTTGGGTTTAGGCTGGGGCTCATAACATTACAGAATTAAATGCCTTGGGTTTAGGCTGGGGCTCATTTATTATATACACTAAACCCTAGGCATTTAGTTCTGTAGTGTTAGCTGTTTATGCAATCCAATATCAGATTTTATTTACACATATGTATACATGTTGGAGACTTGCCCAGTATAGCTGTCACACACTGAAAGCTAGGTTACGCTGAGGTGTAGTTTTATTATCAAAAAATATATGAAACATTTTGTGCTCCTCATACAAAATCGTACATACACATTGTTCAGAAGTAATGTCTGTGTTAAGCAACATTTGGGAGAAGAGAGGAAACTAAATGCTATACACGGTGTATATATATATAATTTTTTTATTATCATTTTTTTTTTCCTGAACACATAAATGACTGTAGATAAAACCTTTATTTAGCACAAAAATTAATCAAACAACATAAGTATCAGTCCTAAATTCCTGCTTTTAGTTGAGTCATTCAATAAAGGGGAAAACTCAAACATATGTTTTTTTCTATTACCTAAAAAAAACTGGGCTTGTCTTGTATGTCATTGGCTTCTGTCTTTTAGTATCATGCATGAGTTCATTGCAATAGCAAACACACACACACACACACACACACACTCACACACAAAATTTCAAATTCTATTGAAAATTAAAAAGAGAATGAATATGATTAAGCCCTTCCGTGATGCTGTGTTGTTCCCTACAGAGTTCCCAGTGTTCCTGTCTCCTTTCACTACCTATAGCATTTAGTATGTTAATAGGATGTCAACGGTTGCTAGGGGCTTCAACTTTCAAACAATGATCACAGATGTCACTCCTCATTGCTTCAAATTTAGTGGTCAAGTGGCAATGAATTACAGTGAGAATTAGATTTATTTTTTTCCCCACCTTCATATTTCAGAGAAATATTGCCAATTGGAGTGTAAGATGTAATTACATAGGAGACAAGATTCAGTGTTTCATAGGGTCACTTGAGATCTACATTAAAAAAAAAGTATCATTAGCATTTGCATTCTGGCATACACTGTATATGTATACTATTGTTAAAAAGTTTGGGGAGGTTTACTTAAACAATAATAATATTTAAGCAATAAATGACTTAATACAAGAATGATTAAAATAATTAGGCAAGGATGCATTATTGATCAAAATGGACAGTAAAGATTAATAAACATTTTTAATATTACAAAATATTTCTATTTTAAATAAATGCTTTTCTTTTGAACTTATTATTCATCTCAGATTCCTGGGGGGGTCATGGTTTCCTCAAATATATTAAGCAGCACAACTGTATCAACATAGATAATAATTAGAAATGTTTCTTGATTTATAAAGGGTAATGTGACAGTGAAGACTGCAGTAATAGCTGTTGAAAATGCAGCTTTGCCATCACTGGAATAATCACATTTCAATGTATATAGTTATTTTAAATTGTAATAATATTTCCTTATCTTCCTTTACTGTATTTTTGATCAAATAAATGCAGCCTTGCTGAGACTTCTTTCAAAAATATTAGAAAACCTTACAGACCTCAAATTTTGAACAGTAGTGCATATATATATAAAAACAATCTTGGGAACTGGGAAGTATGAACGTTCAATTCCTACATTTTCAACAGCTTCTTGTTATATGACAGAATGTCAGCTTTGCTTTGTATGTCTCTGGTTTGTTTAGTACATTTTAGTGTTCATTTGTACAATAAGATTGAAATTCAGACTTATACCCAAACATCCACACATCAAGTGTTTCTACCAATTTCAACTTTTCTTCATTGTGTGCCAAGCCAATAAAAAACTTTGAAACAAAATCTGAAATATTTTGTTCTCTTGAAACAAAATCTGAATTTTTTTTTGTTCTTTTCCAAATTAAAGCAGAAATCAGCACATAATGGGTGATTTTGGGGTCACTGGTTTCTCAAAATTTTTTATGCAATTAAGCTGCATAAAAATGTTGTTAATTTGTGGGAGCAAAAGGCAAGTAACTTAAATGCAAGTGTCCTAGTCTAAATTAAAGTGAGTGGGGTGTGCTTCTTGCCACAAGTGCATTGAATTAAGGCACAGGCGCTGTTCTTCTTTTTGAACAGAGTGTATGGGTTTTATCCCAGGGTAAGCACAGTTTGGGTATAGGTGATCACCGTCATGGGAGGCATCCCAGATGGAGGACTGTAGATGTAGAACTTGAGTAATAACACACAATTTGATGTTACAAATAGACCCCAAAACAGAAGAAAACTGTCATATTTATGTGGCGTATACAAGATAAAGCACCCATAGTACTTTCCTCAGCAAAAATAAATAAATTATATATATATATATATATATATATATAGGTGCATCTCAATAAATTAGAATGTCGTGGAAAAGTTAATTTATTTCAGTAATTCAACTGAAATTGTGAAACTCGTGTATTAAATAAATTCAATGCACACAGAC